CACCCTTGGTAGATACAGTGTCTGTTGTTGGTCCATCTATTGCCTGATAGGCCTGGGGTTGAGTATTTTTCTGAGAGCCCTTAGCTGGTCGGACTGGACGGTCTGGAATGATGTGACCATGTTGCTTGCAATAGGTACACACATTTTTCTTCTTACAGGGAGATGCAATATGTCCAAAACCCTTACACTCATAGCACTGGGTTTTGAAGAGGTCCTTGGGGGTTGGCTTCTTACCCCCATGAGCAACAAAGGCTGTTTCAACCCCAACTTCAGCCATCTTCCCATCAAACCCGGTTGTAGTGAGAAGTCTAGTCTCTTCTCTCAGAAGTCCCCCTAAAACATAATCCATATCTAGAAGTGTTCCCCTACTCAGAATGTTGCACCTGATTATCTCATATTCAGGTCTAAGTCTCATCAAGAACTGAGTCACCTTTCTCTTCTCAAAGTGCTTCTGAAGATATTTCACACACTCCATTGGATCCGAGGGTTCAATGTGAACAATCTAATATTCAGCCCATAAATCAAGAAAAGCAGAATAATACTCCTATATCCTCCTATCTCCTTGGCTGTAAGAGAATATTTCTGATTCTATATGATATTGCTTAGATACGTTGGACTGTTGATAAATTTTTTCTAGATACATGTACATCTCATATGCTGTTTTCATTCTCCTCATAGGTACAGATGTATCATAGTCAATAGAACTCAGCTGGTTTGGTGACCGTTCCATTCAAATATCATTCTAAACCCTTTCCCTCAACATAAAAATCGAAGTGGAACTTCCACACCCCATAGTTCTGTCCATACATCTTTACAGGAATGATATCACCTCTGTCTGAAGCCATTACAGCAAGGAAATAGCACAAATAGGGTTCGGCTGAAGTTTAAAGAAACTAATCTGAAGTAAAACTTGATCCAAAGACAAGTTAAATAGGCTGTAATCAATCCAAGAAAGTCAAAAAACTAAGATAGAAACCCCTTACTTTCACTGGAGATTGTTTAAGATTCAAAACAAAGAAAAGTTGAACACACGGTCCAGAAAAGGAAAGTCTGGGTGCAGCCGCCAAGAAGAAGAGTCCAGATCTCTCTAAAAACTTCACGGATCTCCGTAAAAATTTCAGAATATGTTGAGAAGGGCTAGGTGACAACTCCTTTCAATTCTTGCTACAAACAGAGGTCAATTGAGAGAGATCCAATAAAATCTCTCTCTCTGGGTGCACAAAAAACAAAAAAGGAGTTCCTGGATAGATCAAAACAGTCCTGGACCACTCAACAGAGATGTAGGATCTCAATAGATCACGAAGACAAGATGGATTAGAGAGAAGGAAGATCAAAGAGCAACCTGCTCTGATACCATGTGAACTGAATTCAGAGCAAGAAGAAAACAGATCTAGCGGTGTCAAGAATGGTCAACCCCCACCCCAAAGAGTCTCTTTTATATTAAAGAGATAAAAAGTATGTACAGTTACAAGAATGCCCTTACAGGGCTGAAAGATAAAAAGAACAAATAAAATAATAATAACTACGATATTGTACAACAAGGACTACTCTAATAATGTACATCAAGATATATCTTCACAGTTTTGAGGTGGTGGGGAACTCAGTAGCCTGGTGCCCTTCTTTCAGAAGGAATTTTCAGGATTGGGAAATTCCTGTCCTGGCTGATCTACTCGAACTGCTCTCTCCCTTCAACCCCTAATGCTCAAAGAAGACAGTTGGTCCTGGACATGTAATATAGACGGCCTCTTTTCAGTCAAGTCATTTGCCACTCACATGACAATGAGTACTTCTGAAGATATCCTGCTTCCAGAATCTGGAATCCAACCTCTCCCTCAAAAATCAATGCTCTAGTGTGGGTTGCAGTTCTAGACAGGTGTTTAACTAAAGCCCACCTATGTAAGAAAGGGGTTCATATCCAAGACCAGAAGTGTGAAGATAGCAGTCATCTATTTATGCACTGCTCAATTTAAGCTAGAATGTGGAATCATTTTCTTGGTTCGATGGGTCTTGCCTAGTCAATGCCAGCTTCGGTGAAGGAAATGTTGTGGAGTTGGGGATTATAGGGTTTGTCGAAGCTTGCTTCAGTTGTGTGGATGTCCATTCCAGTTGTAGTCATCAGCACCATTTGTGAAGGGATGGGAGATCCATCATATGGATGGTCGAACCCTACAGGAAGGTTGGGTGAAATTTCAAAAATTTCTTTACTCCCATCTGGGAATCATATTCCCAATTTAGAAAACTGCATAAGGTTCGTTATTGTAACTAAACCGGACCAAATCTGAAACAAAGATTAGGGAGGGATATACTTGATTCGGAATCCACGCAAAAAGCTCCTCCCAATGCAAGTGTTCACGCCCAAAGAGCGTACCAAATCCTCCCTCCACTGAAAATGACACAGCTTAAGATGAGGCAGGATCAGTAGGTAGTTCTTCACCAAGAACCTCTGATTCTTCGGCAAGAATCGAATAAGGTAGTGAGCACAGCTTTAGAATTGTTTCTTTTAGCAAGAAACAATATCAAGATCAAATCTTGGAGATCGAACAAGGTAGGGCGGCAAGAGTAGGAAGAAAAAGAACTGAAGGCAGAAACAGTCAAACTGAGTTGTCTTCTGTAATGTTTTGGTATCTTTTTCAGATCCGCCCTGCTCTCTATTTATAGCCTTAAAGAGACAACCTCCTAATCTGATTAGGAGTCTCCTGATCCAAATCTTTATTTGGACCTGAACTCTTTAAGTGATAAGGATAATCCCTTATCTTATCTGCAGTTCAAGATCAGCTTATTCCTAATCAAATTAGGAGTTCCCTAATCCAAATCTCTATTTGGATCTGGACTCTTTAAGTGGATAAGAGTTATCCTCTTATCCTTATCTACTGATCCAAACCCAAATCCGCCCCTATTTAATTAATCCAATTAACCCAGTTTGAAATGGGCTTTAGGCCCATTAAGCTTTTAGGCTCACTTCCTTTTAATGCTGGCTATCTTGGCTCTCTTTGTGTGGTGTGGGACCCTATCATTGATCTACACATCAGCCACATGGGTTCAGCCTAGCCTCTGTTACGAGGCCTGGCCGAATTCACTGCTGAATACAGTGAACCCCTGAGTCCATCACTATGGGCTCTTAATGGACCCAACATTTACACTAAATGGTCCTTGGGTCCAACCATCTTATGAAGGCCCAAGGACTGTGGGCAGATGCAAGATTAGCCCATCAGGTATAATCCTCAATGGTCTTACATTTAACCTCTCAGCCCTTAATGATCAAACATTGCCTGATAAGAGAGGACCTCTCCCTCGGTTGCAAGGTACAGTGATGCACTCTCTGTTCACATGGATCCCGGGAATTAAAACCTTTTGCAAACAATTTATGAAACCATAATATATAAGTATATCTTTATATAAATATATTTTGCAAAACCAAATTTCAAGCACATTTGAAATCCACTACCGGCAGTTTAAGTTTCCATTAGAAAGAGTGCATTTCCCCAATCATTCACTTTGTCCGACAAAGGGGTTGATCCTGTCACTATGATCACCCACTCAGATGAATTCTCGAACTATCCCTACATACCCAAGTTTTGACCCCCTCTAAGGATCTCACTGATTGGCACATCAAAGATAGCCCAATCCGATGCCTAGTGCAATATCATAATCGAGTCTAGGGGTTAGGTGTAACATTCCAGTTTTGCCCATCTGTCTCCAAGGTCTAGGGCAATACTAGAATTTGGTCTGGTTCAGGGTTTCATGAAAACCCACACTGCATGTATCTCAAGTCTCACCCTGGCAGCTGAGACAAGCCACCCCAACCAACTTGGCAGCACATCAATGTCAGCCTTGGCAGGATAAATCTCCCAAGATCTATCCAACGGCTATGAAAATTCTAAACTAACACGAGTCTCATATGTGTCCAATTTAAGGGTATTACACAGAAACACACCACAATAACATGAATCAAATATGTACTTTATTCATTTACAATAAGTGTGATAATGTACATCATGCTGATTGGAGCTAAGGGCATACACTGTCTAACAATTTGGGCAGAAAGGAACAAAAGACTATTTCAGAATATCTATAAGGATCCGGAAGACCTGATATCCATTTCTGTTGGAAAGCTGATTTCTTGGGTCTCAGCTTCGAAGGGAATCCAGGCAGCTGAGTTGAGGGCTAGGCTGAACTCTAGGAGCCTATGGCATCTATAATCTTGTTATGTTTGGGCTGTTTCCCCATGTAAGGTATTTAGTTGGGGGGCCTTTGTACTAGTGTTTTCTATCAATAAAATTTTACATTACCTTCTCTCAAAAAAAGAAAAAGCTAATGGGCCAGTACTAGTGCACAAACACCAATAAAAGGTAATTTAGAAGTTAATTGACTATCACAAAGGTGTAAAACACATGAGAATGTATGAAAATGTTGGTAGCTTGAAAAGGCATCCCTGGGCCAAGGTGCAAGGTAACCCAGGCATGTGCGTTTTGAAAGGAGCTGCCCTTGGATTGAAGAGAGGTGCAGCCTGCACACCTGGGCATATGTGAGGCTTGGTTCCCAGTTCCTATAGCACTAATTTTCTTGGGATAGGAGCATATGGAGTGCCCATTGAAACCCTAGTTGGAGTTAGGGTTCTGTCTTCAAATATTCCATGAAAAAAGGCCTTTGTTATATATGATGCTTTCTAGTATCTTCTACCCTAATGCCATTATTCTAACAAAAAAAATTCCTTAAGCTAAGAGAATGTCCCTCAATGGTGTAGTTCTAGTATCTTCTACCCTGTTTCTTGTGCTTAGGGTTTGCCTCCGGTTACCTCTTCCCAAATTCCATCAAGAATCATATCATGATCTTTTCTGGTTTTCTAAACCTCAGCTTTGCCTATGTTGATGTCCCACCCCTTGTTGCTTAGCTATCTTTCTAGCTATCTGGTTTGTGATTAGAACCTCATAAAGCTTTCAGAAGCCATTACTACCTTTTAAATACTTTCAATTTTTAATTTTTATTTTTTCTTGAGGCAGATGGTTGAAGAAGCAGGTGGGGCTGTTACACGCATGGATGGTGGAAAGTTCTGTGTGTTCGATAGATCTGTATTGGTTTCCAATGGTCTTCTACATGCAAAGGTCAGTCCATACCAACTTATATTGGAGTTAAAATTCCATGGAAGCTTTGGTTTCTACTTCTGTGTATATGGCTGTGATCCATTGTAAATGTGAGTGGTCGAACATGGCAAAGTTGTGTATGCATCAATACTACAGGCAGTGAGCTTGGGTGTCTTCTGTATTGTTAAAAATAGTTCCCTACTATGCTTTTTCCCACCAGTTATAGTTGGATTTTTCAAAGGAGTCCCTGATGCCAGTGAATGTGAGAGGTCCAATACACTGATTAGCACCTCTTGCAAGACCTTCAAATTTATTTCCTTTAACTTTTACTTATCTTTTTTCTGCTCTTTTCTAATCAAGCTAACTGCTTAAATGCATTTAAATAAGCATTAAGGTTTGTCCTCCTTAATACTTCAAATCTTGTGAATTCCAGCTTTTGGAAAGGATAGGTCCGGCAACAGAGAAGCTGAAGAACAAGGGAATTGACTTCTCTCTGTGGTTTAAGCCAGAAAACTATAGCACAGATTTTTGAACAGACACCAATTCTTTATTTTATCTTTTCTAGAAAGCTATGTACTAGCAGAGGTTACTCTTTTCTGAGGTTGTAGTAAATAAAAATTCCATTGCCTTGTGTGTATTTAATAACATTGTTATTGATATTTGTTTGATCATTTCTTAAAATGAAAAGTTGTAATTGGAGAAAAAAAAATATGGATGGTTACTACTACTAGTCATAAATAGAGCATACATCTAAGATAATCTTGTCTTTTTTGTCATACGCAAGCCAACTTTAGATCAAGATACGGGGAATATAAGGCCCTAATCCTTGGTCGGTGTCAAAGGCCATCTGTTTGAGACCTCTAAACCGTCTCCTCCTTGGTGGCAATGGTCCATGATATTATGGTAAATGGCTTTTCTGATATTGTTTGAAATAAAGGCTGAGTGATTAAAAGATTCCAATTTGAGAATACTCCTTAACCTAGGAGTATTGTTGCCTTTTAATAAAAAATAGGGGATAAAATAGTCAAACTGGTATTGGAATCTTTTCATCATTCAACTGTAAAGAAGGGCTGGTTAGTGATATAGCCGGAAACTCAATTTATAGGTTGAATTGTTGAAAGTTGAAACCTTGCAACATTTAGCCCCTATTTCAGCCGTTACCAAATTATCTCATTAGTCAAAGGTAGTTAATAGCTGTGCTGTTTAGATAGGAATGGACCGAATGGCATTCTCTTCATAGTACTAGTAGACTATGCCATGCAGGGAGTTTCCCTACTTGACCAATTATAAAAATTGATTTTACTGATGTAGCAGTTGTAGTTGTTTTTTGTTTTCCGAAACAAGATCATACATATTGGCAACCCCCCCCCCCCCCCCGATTTTTCAGATAAACTTAGAGTCTGTTTGGTTTGCTGTTGGAGTCAGAATTGAAAACCCTGGGAATTGGAATGAATGGTTTATTCCCATAATTTGCTTGGTTCAAACAGGAATCAGAATCAGCTGAAATGGGATTTCATTTCCAAGGGAGGGGGAGGGAATGACTATCTATACTACTTTTAAAAGTGTAAATGAGGTCTATATTACTCTTGCCCTTTGAACTTGGTCTCCTTATATTTATGAGGGTAAAAAACATAATTTGAGTTAACTACTTTTATTAAATTCATTATATTCTTTACCACTAAGTTCTATATTTAAGGTATAAAGTCACATTTTCTTTCATTAAATCTTATGTTTAAGGCACACTAAATAAATTACCTTTATTTATGAATTTAATCCCTCTTTAACTATGTAGGCAAAAAATGTAATTTAAAGTGTTATTACTTTCCACTTCATTAAATTTCTTCTCATTAAGGTATTAACTTTCATTCTCTCTCAAATATTTTATTTGAAATATTTTTGTTTCTCATCAATAAATTTTACAAGTAAATCCATATCTAATATTTTTAATAATGTAAAACTTATGTTCAAAACCAACATGAAAAATAATTAAATAAACCACCATTTTGTCGCACATAAATAGTTCAACCATCAACATCAAATGGGTCAATCAATGTTCTCAAAGTTAAATAATAGAAATATCACAAAAGTTATAAAAAATTGTAAAAAAATTAGGCACATAATATTATCTATTTATCATATCAAACAACATTAAGCATGCTAATTACTAAATAAAAGTATTTTTATGCGATGGAAATGAAATACAAGATTTAAAACTAATTCAAAAATGAAGTCATTTTCCTATTCAAGTGGTGGGCCAATGGTTCAACTTTCAATCCTCAACTTGGGCCTTGGCCTAGGTTCAAAACTTAACTTTAGATAGCTAAAGTTAACTTTAGATAGCTAAAGTTAAGTTTGATTATACACATACAATCATAAATACATATATAGCACATTTTTGCATACATGCATATATATACAATTATGTGCACACATTTTATGTCAAATTTTGTTATGGGGCTAATTTTTAGACCCAAGTCAAAGACTAGCCCAAGTGCATCAAATTTCAATTTAGGTTGGAGGTTAGGCCCAAGTTGAACAAATTAAGGCTTGACTTTAGTCTTTAAGCCTTAGGTCCAATGCATAAGGTTGGCCCTGGATTAACCTTAAGTTCAGCCCAACCTACTTGACTTGCACCATAACGGTCCAATCGTTTAGGTAAGTGAGTTAACCAATGATGTCATAATTAATAAATAAAAATTAAAAAATATATAAAATTTATAGAAAAATTTGAGATATCTAAGTTATAAGCGTACCATATCAAACAAAAATAAGTGTGATAAACAAGAATTATTTTTAGAATTAATTATGTAAGTGGAATAAAAAATTTGAGTTGCCCGAAAATGAGATTGTTTTTCTTTTTCAAGTCAAATAGGGCAGCACATGGTGTCATAATTGTACAATAAAACTCAAAAAAGTATATAGAAATAAAATATATATATTTAGAAAACACAAAAAATTGTCTATAAAATTTGTGTACATCTCTAATATCGTATATTTATTATATTAAACAAAAATAAATATGATAAATAAGAAGTATTTTTATTATCAATGAAAATTAAATATAAAATCTAAATACACCAGTAAACCATGCTTTTATTACGTATCCTTTTTAGTTCTAATAAGAAATTTTGAAGTAATTAATTTTATCTGAAATTACCATGTACAACGCGTGCATATTTACTAGTTCTCTGAAATGGGGGAATGCCATCCCACCAGGAATGGGAATGGGATTCTGATTCGGTCCAACCAAACAGTTGGAACCGGAATGACATTTCGATTCTGATTTCAGACCCTTATTCCCGTGAGCCAAATGGGCGCTAAGGTTGGGCAAAAACAATGAGGTGTTTTGTGTTTAGAGCTTCTTCTATTGTCTGATATACATTAATACCTTAAGTATCAAGCCATGGCATTGGTAGTATGTGTAATTAACTTCAATTCAAATGTAGACACCATTCCCTAAGTTAACTCTAACTTGTACTTGCCGACTAGTTAAATTATATGCTGGTAAAGGGATTTAAACTTAGACCATCCACATGAAAGACAAGGATTCTTACTCCATCCACATCGTAACAACTTGTTAAAATATATGGGTTATAACTTCTAAGCAATCTTTCATTAATATTGAAATTAACATTTTTTTTTTGTGGACTATGATGTATATTGATTTCTGGAGAATACATACATACATATTTTTTTATCACCTCCTTGTGATATCAATACTTCTAACATTGGCTTTGGGACCATTAAATGGATATTGCATGGTCAGACGTCTGAGATTTGTTGGTTTTGCTTACTTTAAAGAGCTTTCAGAAATGCAGAAACATGAAGAGAATGAGATTGATGACGAAGCATTCACTATGAGAATATTTGATAGGTCGATATTATTTGATATTCTGTTATTCTTTACTTTTCAGGAACAACTTCAGGGCTTGTTCTTTGGACGAATGGTGACACCTTTGATGACCAGCCCTTTTTTCCATTGACCACCTTCAAATTCAAACAAGGAAAACTGCAAAGCCCCAGTGTTTCCTGGGGATGTCTGGACTTCCCCTGCTAAAAGCTCAATCCACTTTGCTCTAGGCTTGTAAATTAGACATTCCTTGTGTTGTTGAGTTTTTCCATCAGGGAGTACCAGTCTAAGGTTCACAGGAGCCTCCCATCCATATGCCGGATCTTTCAATTGCACAACAAAAGCAACTTCATATATGGCTCCTGGTGAGAGGTTGGACATGTCAAAGCTTCCATGAACTTCTAGCCAACACACATTCAAAAGCTCAGCCACATCAACAAGCACATTACTGCAAGTGGAAAACTAAATCAGAACTAGAACACAGGAAAATACTGCATACCAGTGATTGAGAGATCCCTATGGAGAGAAGACATATATCTTACCTCATGTCTGGAGAGTAAGGCCAATGCCAGTATCCTTTGTTTTCACCCCAAGTGATTGAAAGATCCCTTGCGAATAACATGAAGCAGTTGTGGCCTGAATTCTTTTGGACCCAGTACTTCTACACAAATGACAGTCCCAAATAAACATGGATAGTCAACAATCTTGCAAGAAAGAAAGGTAGAGAGACAGGGGGATTACTTCTATAATCCATAGTCCTAGACTCTGGATTTGGACTTACCTTTCTCTTTTGGTTTAAGAAAACCCCAGAATAGAGTTGTTCAAGCAGTTTCTCTATGGATGACCTGTTGACTGGGCAGTCTGCGTCTTTGATTATAGCTTCATAGTTATGAGGGAACTTGGGCTCTGTCTTTGTTTCAACAATACAGCCACAAGAGGGTGGTTTGATAGGCTCTTCAGCTCCATGTATTGTCACTTCCTGAAACCATTCTGAACTCATCTTCCCTTTCTCATCCCATTTCATGTCCTTCAGAATTTATAGCTTGATGGGGTGAACCTCCTTCCCTCTCTCTCTCTCTTGTGAATACATAATTGGTTGTGCAGATGGATATATTCTCCGTCAAAAAGTGTTTAAAAAGTCTGATAGCAAGTTATTCCCCACCATCGCTGCTGCTTTATTCTTACTTTAGACTTTATTGAGATTCTGGGACTGGAAGGGATAATTGGTATTTCTAATTCCTATGCATGTGAAAAATGATCAGATACTCTAAGCACCATTGCACTATACTACTATATCAAGTGTCCCTGTCTAGACCATTTGAATGATTCTAACCGTCTGATGAACATATTTTCCTATAGAAATTGCTTTTCTCATTGACTGTTATGTACATACAAGTAATTTTGTTCTTAATCATTGATGAGGAGGGGACCTACTGAGAGCCATTCTAAAGAACAGAGCAATGGTGGATCAGTGTAGATTAGAGGATTTGGGATATTGTGGACCAAAATTCATTTGGTCAAATAATCGGAAGGACAGATTAGACCGCGCCTGACGCAATATATAAGGATTGCAGCATGTTATTTCTGGACACCCAGGTTTCACATGTGGTGCCAAACTGAGTGGTGGCTCGGTTGGTGCTTAGTCTTGTAGTCCCAGAAGCGATGCGGTTTCGAGCCCTGGTATGGACTCCTACCATCATATCTTTAAAAAGAGTTGTCAGATTGTTGCCAAATATGCCAAGTAAAAATGAAATAGGGTGAGTTTAAACATTCCAACATCTCCAGATGAGAGTACTAAATAGCGCTCCTATGGAGACAAAAGAGGATGATTGGATAGCAAAAGATTAAAAAAAAAAAAGTTTCACATGCTGGATGCTCAACCCATAAAAGCTAAAAGGTGTAGGTCTTTCACATTCAAAGAGACGTGGATAGAGCATAGGATTCCAGAAAACTCACTCTCCACCAGATTTGTATCAAGTGAAGAAGGGTTAGGTGCATGCTTTGGAAGTGGAATAAAGATATTATTTCCTGGGAATACGTCCATGGAACAAGAATCGGAACTGGATAGAGGAAGGAATTCCAAAGGCAAAATGGACAAACCGGCAAGGTTTGATGGCAAAAGAATAAAAAAAAAATGTTAAAAATAAAAGTAGATAAATGTTGGTGATTGGATTGAGGATAACAAAGGCACCGACGAGCACATTGTTGATTGACAATTTTGATGTGCTATTCCAGACTTGAAACCTGTAGGGTGTATATGAGGTTTCGGCAATAGTGAAGCTGACAATCATAAAGGTGGAATTCATTAGTGGAAGTAGGCACATATTATCAAATAACATTAAATCTTGTGTTCTTTTTTCTTTTGGGGGGTGTTTTCTTTTCGGATTTTGAGAAGGGGAAAGTTGGTTAATGGGATTTTGGTTTTCATTGACCAAGAATCTTATGTTCTTTTTTTAGATTTATGTGGGGACCAGGGAAAGTTTATTTTCCTGGGTATGGTAGGTGATACCCATCTCCTAGGTGGGTAAATAACTTTCCCACCCTTGAATGAGACAAAAATTCTCTTTTTAATAATAGATTTTTATGACTAAAATGGTCATTGTCTTATTTACATGAGAAATAAAAGAACATGGGTAAATGCACTTACCCGGGTAAAGTTTCCTAGGAAAAACGTACCCAGGTGCATTTATCCGGGTAAGTAACTTACCGAAAAACGAACAGGGCCTTTGTTTGAGTTTTTTTCTTTTGGCCTTATTCGTTTTTTAAAATGTTACTTGCCCACATTTATTAGGTAAATTCTTTTTATTTCCAGGTAAGTTCAATAAAGACTTTTTTTATCAATAAAAGTCTAATATTAGAATGAACAAATTTGTCTCATTATAAAAAAAATTAAAAAAAAAAAACTTGTCTCATTATGTTTTGTAAATTTTCGGCACAAGTGAAAAAATTGTTTATCCACTTAGGAGATGGGTATCACTTATCAGGGAATTTAACTTTACTATGGGGCTCAGACCAACTTTTCCCCCTCTTATTTTTCAAAAAACAAACGAGGCTTTTGTGCTTTCTTGCTCTTTGGTACAATAATAGTTCTGTCATCTATTTGATTATTTGGGGATTCTCATATTGATTGGCATCCACCTATTTTAAATGAAATGGGTTTCTAGGTTTTGGGTTTCGCCACCACTCATGTACATGTATAGAGTGTCCTTCTCCACATGAGATTCCATTTTTCATGTATGTTTTTCTTTCCTTTTTTTATTCTTTTGGATTAAAGGATTTCATTTCATGATAGGGCATTTCCTAGGAGCAATACACTACACCTTAACCCAAGTGATGAGAAATGGTTTAGCACGCTTGGGTATGTCACTAAATTCAGTGAATGGAATGTCAAAACAGGATTCATATAACCAACCAGCCCTTATAGTTGAAAGAAGGCAACGGATAATGTACTCATGAAAATTGCCCTTCCCATTCCCTGAATCCACCTCAGCACCCTTGATCCTAAATTCGTTGAACTTTTCCTCTCCTAACCTATCCCATCCCAAACCCGCTAAACCTGGCATGACCCCTTCTTACCTGATTATCATTTAATCAAATTAAACCTATCACGAGCCATCTCCAATATTTATCAATTAATCGTGTGGAATTTAAACAGGTTGGTCAGGTTATGCCATAAAATCACTAAAAAATAGGGAAAACAAAGCTCATTGCTCATCATCCAGGATACATAGTATAGCTTTAATACATTGGGAAAAAAGTACTTCAAGTTTAATATTAAAGTACATGAAAAGGTTTTAAAAAGTACATCAATTATCAACCAACAACATTCAACAAGAACCAACTACAACATTTAACATTACAGAAAATTGAAGTGACATAAGGCAATTATTAATTCAAGAACTTGTTACTTTGGGGATAAGGTCAAAACTCAAACCCATACCAAAACAACTTCTATGTATATCCAATATTCAAATAAACTAGGATTCATATAATGTGACAAGTGTGTCTTCCTCAACTAAATGACACCAAAATGTCCAACTTTTATATCCTACATTTGTAGGGAAACCTGCGGGATTCTTGTTTTGGAGGGAAGATTCAAATAATAAGAATCTGAACTCCCGCCTTTTTGTTTTGTTTTAGTCTCTTTCGGCTTTTGGTTTTTTATCCTCTTGTAACCTCTCTTGAAAGCATGTCAGGACCTCTTGTCCCACATTCCTTAGGAAAAGAGGTGGACATGAGTATACTACACCTACAATAATTCAGATAATGCAAGAAAAGAAGAAAAGAGAGAGAAAGAAGAAAAAAGAAGTTTCAACAATAGGTTGTGGAAGAAAAAAATAACAGTAGAGAGAAAAGAAGAATTTTAACTTCTCTCTAGCCCCCTTTCATCACTTTTATTAATAATTTTAAGTCTGAGTACAATTACTTGGATACCTTGTATGGGGCGGCCTTTACTAAATAAATAATTAAAGAAAATAATAGAAGGCCATTAAGGCCCATAACTAAGAAACATAACTTTTAAATACTACTTAAAAGAAATAAAGAATACTAAGGCCCATTCAGCTCATTCTCAGTACATTCCCCCTCAAGCTGAGCACAGATGTCAATCATGCACAACTTGTTTACATAACGTTTAAGCTTTGCCTTTGGGACTCCCTTAGTTAGAAAATCTACTAGCTGCTCTTCTAGTGCAATGAAAGGTAGGCACATTTCTCCTGAAGCCACTCTCCCATATAAAGTATTTGTCTACCTCAATGTGCTTAATTCTATCATGCAAAACTAGGTTGTGAACAATGTTAATAGCAATTTGGTTATCACAATACAACATCAATGGCTCGTCACATGAAACACCCATTTCATAAAGGAGAGATCTAAGCCATAACAACTTAGAAACACCATCGGTCATATCTCTATACTCTGCCTCAGCTGAAGATCTAGCAACCACTGACTATTTTTTGCTTCTTCTAGAAACGATATTTCCAGCTACCATAGAACAATATCTTCATGTGGATCTCCTGTCATCCACATTTCCTGCCCAATCAGTATTTGTATATGCTTCTACTTTCATGTGTCCATGTTTTGCAAATAATATACCCTTCCCAAGGGTTTTCTTAAGGTAGCACAATACCCTTTTTACAACAACCATATGTGTGTCTTTGGGAGCATGCATGAACTAGATGATAACACTCACAACATATGAAATGTTTGGAGGATTCATACATAGATAAAGAAGTTTCCCCAGTAAACTATGAAACATTCCCTGTCAGCTATAAGTTTTTCGTTATTAACTGAGAGTTTATGATTCACATCAATAGGGATAGAGGCATGTTTTGCACCAAGTTTTCTAGTCTTAGTAAAAAGGTCTAGCATATACTTTCGTTGAGAAATAAAGATGCTTTCTTTGGACCTAGCAACCTTAGTGCCTAGAAAATTCCGCAACTCCCCTAAATCTTTAATTTCAAATTCAGAATGGAGAAACTTCTTAAGAGCACTAACTTCTTCTGTAGCACTGCCAGTAGCCACAATATCATCTACATAAACTATAAGAAATGTAACCAGAGTGCCTTTTCTCTTAACAAAAAGGGTATGATCTGATCCAAGTGTAGTCGAACTGAACAAGAGCAGCCTCAAACCTATCAAACCAAGCACGTGGAGATTATTTCAGAACATAAAGTGATTTCTTCAATCTACCCACCTTACCATGTATTTCTTTGCTATATAGCCAGGAGGAAGGGACATATATACATCTCCAGTGAGATCACCATTTAGGAATGCATTCTTAACATCAAATTAATACAGAGGTAAATCATAGTTCACTACTAAGGATAAAAGAACTCTCATTGAAGTAATCTTAACAACTGGAGAAAATGTCTTATTGTAATCTATCCCACTTGCACCTCTCAATTGACCCATTTACACGACACTTGATAGTGAAAATCCACTTGCACCTAACAAGTTTCTTCCCAACTAGCAAGTCAATAATATCCCGGGTATTGCTTTTATGAAAGGCCTCTATTTCAATACTCATAGCATCTCTCCAATCTGGTGACTAAGGCTTCTGAAACAGACTTTGGGATGGATTGAGAGGAAATGGAGGCTAGAAAGG